TTTAGGTACTTCTCAGTCTTTTTAGGCCAGGACCTCCCTTCAGAGGCTCTGCACTATTCTGATTCCTTAAAGGGCATCACTTGCTCAGTTCAGCTCTGCTTCTGAGCACTTGAGTTTTTGACTACCTTCTTATCAGATGAGATCTACATTTGCATACTGGTTTCTTCAATAGTGAGCAGTGAGTAATTATTGTTAGTACCTATAAAAACTTGTTCAGTATTGATAAATACAGTGCCTAGCTGTGAATGCACTATATTAGTGTCATCTGTTCACATATTTAAGAAAATATTAGTAATTCACTCATGTATGCATCAAGAAACTACTTGCTAAAACCCTCTTGACATTCAGCCATCTTCACTTAGTTCAATTTGTCATATGCCCTTTTCATAGCTTGCTTCTCTCAGTACATCTTACTGAGTTCCAACTATTCTTCATCAGAAAACTTCATCTCCTGATTTCTTTAAGGTGCTACTGCATCACTTGCTTTTGAAGTATCTTGAGTGATAGACAGTGACATGCTCTCTATGTGTTTATGTGTGTAATTTTGCAAATTCTAAGAATACAATGACTGTATTCATATCTACTATACACACAATAGAAAATATGACTAGTGCATGATGAAAGAAGACTTGTTATGTATGATACCTGACTTGAGTGACAATTAGTGGAGTACATGGCCTAGTAGTAGAATAATACCAGAGAGATTATACTGCAAATAAGGTCCCTGCACTTAGCATTGAATATGCTAATACAAATACAGAGAGGCATGCTAAAAATAAAATGAACATAATCAAACTATGATCAAAACTTAGTGCAATTGAGCTGGTCCCCAATGCTGACACTAATCTGGACTGCAAGATATATCCACTTGAATGGACAGAGCAAGAGGAGCTAAAGAAGTTTCTTGATGAGAACTTGACCAATAGGAGAATCCAAGTATCCAAATCTCTCATGATCTCACTCTTCTTTTTTGTCAAAAAGAAGGATGAAAAACTGAGACCCATATAGAAATATTGGAAGTTAAATAACCTGACAGTCAAAAATCAATATCCACTCTCACTCATTTCAGAACTCATCAATAAACTGTCAGGTGCTCAGTATTTCACTAAGCTAGATGTATGATAGAGATATAATAATATCCAGATCAAGAAAGGAGATGAGTAAAAGGCTGTATTTTGAACTAACTGAAGGTTGTTTGAGCTATGGAAAATGTTTTTTAAGCTCACATATTCATCTGCCATCTTTTAGATGATAATGAATAATATATTCCAAGATCTAATCATCTAAGAAAAGGCTACTATCTATCTAGATGATATAATGATCTTCTCAAAATGCTTCAGGAACACCATAAAATTATGGAGCAAGTACTACAGATACTGTGAGAGAACAAACTGTCTTTCAAACTGGAAAAATGCAAATTTGAAACCCTCAAAACAGAGTATCTTGATCTCATCATCTTGGAAGGAAGGCTACAAATAGATCCAGTGAAACCAATGGAAGTACAAGAATAGCTGACATCCACCAAAAAATGAGAGTTGCAATCTTTTTTAGGATTTGCAAAATTCTATTCACACTTTATTGAAAGCTACAGCAAGATGGCCTTGCCACTGACCAAACTCACTGAAAAAGCCAAGTGGAAATAGGAAGATACACAGGAATAGACATCCCAAGAGATCAAATGCCAGATCTGCTCATTCTCAATTCTCACTATTCCAGTTAATGATGGAAGATTCAAAGTAGAAGCTGATGCATCAGAAGAGGCTCTTAGAGCTATTCTCAGTCTGGAGCAGAGTGGACAATGGAAACCCATAGTCTCTAAGACACTGTCTACAAAGAATGCAACTATAAAATCTATGACAAGGAGGTACTGGCTATCATGATCACCTTAGATAAATGGTGCCATTACCTCCTAGGTGCCAAGTATGATTTTGAAATCTGGACAGACCATCAGAATCTCCAGTATTTCAAAAAGCCACAGAAGCTGAACTGCAGACAAGCATGCTGGGTGACAGAGCTGGCTGAATATCATTTCACACTCCATTACAAACCTGGTACTGCTAATAAAAAGGCTGATATACTTAGTCAATAAACTTGTTAAGATTTTTCCTTTATTTAACTCTCATTCTACTTCATTAACCTCTATTCTTGCTTAGTCAGGGTGCTTAACCAGGCACTTGGGATTGTGGAATCTGCTTAGTCACTATAATAGGCAGAGTTAGTCATTGTCCTTCAATGATGATAACACCTCTCAACAATAGACAATACTCTTTTGTAGATAGTAGCAATGCTCCAGGACAACAAGTACAATAGCTTAGAAATGCATAATTAGTAGGCATATTTTTATCTAGCCTCTCAATAGTATATAAGTAGGATAGCTCTTGCTGTATATTTCTCAGCTTCAAGCTAAAGTTTATTATTACCACTTTATCTCAAGCTGACTGTCTTTGGCCTTAAAGCATTTGATCAACAGGCACAAATAGTAGACTCTGATGTGACTGTACAAACATGATACAGCATCAGTTTACCACATGTTTAGATCACATGCAACTTGGGCTTAACAGAACTGACTATGATCAGAGAGAAAATGATAATGAAGAAATTGTCATTCTCAATCCAGACCTATTCTATGCAAATGCAATGATTTTTCTCTCAGCTCAAGAAATCCTGAAGAAGGTTTGCTGAGAGAAGAAGTCAGTAGAGGAGATAGTACAGCTGGCACTTGACAAGATGGAGAATAGATATACTCTTGAAGAGGGAGTGTGCTATTTTCATGACTGACTGTACATCTCTGCCAATAAAAAGCCACATGGGGAAATCATCACAACATGCTATGATCATATGATAGCAGGTCATTCAGAAATTGCTGAGATATAAGAATTGTTCACAAGCAATTATTGATGGCCTGGTCTCAGGCAGTCAGTGTAGGCATATGTCAAAGGATGTGAGACATGTCAGAGAGTAAAACCAAACACTCAGCAGTGAACAGCACCACTATAATCTAATGAGATCCCTTCTGACAAGTGGAAGATAATCTTAGTTAATATGATAGGGCCTCTTTCTGAGTATAAGGGATATGATGCTGTCTTAGCAGTCATAGACCAATTTTCCAAAGAACTAATCCTGATTGTGACAAACATGAATTTGAATGCTGAGGGCTGAGCATATTTATTCTAAGATTATTATTGTGAGTTGACTTAATTTAGACAGTGTACAAAATTGAGATAGCTTGAGTATAATCTAGTTAAGTAGTATAGTGAAGGGATCTATGAGTTCATTTACCTACAAAGGAATCTATATAGTCTAGTAAGCATTAAGCATAGCTAGAGGAATCTGATAAGCACTAGGTATAATTGAATAGTGGTTTATTCAACAAGTGCTAGGTGTAGTCAAACTCAATCACTTAGATTCACATGAAATAGTGTAGTTAAGTCAGATGAATTTTAGATTCTATTCAAGGTATTTTCATATGGGTTAAATACAACATCTTTATTTAAGAAAGTGCTAGCAAGAAATTGAGAGAAGAAACATCAAGAAATTTCTGTAAGCATATAGAAAATTGAAGAAAACTAGAAAAAGTGAAGATTAGAAATAGTGATTAGTAATATCTATAACAAAGCCCCTCCAGTCTACACTTGCCCAGAGAGAATGAAAATTTGTAGTTAATAAGTTAAAGTCAAAGTGTCTAATTAGTAAGAGATAAATTGCTCATTAGGTGAGTAATATCATCAACATCCTTGTCTATAAATTTGAAGTTGAAATCATCATTGATCAAGACTGATGGAAATGAGGGAGCAGATGTGACAGTGGATGAAATGTCATCATCCTGTGGGAAATCCATGATCAAGTGTGGCAGGCTATAGAGGAAATCTATGCTCAAGTAGCAAGGGTCATAGGGAAAGTGTAACCATGCTGTGATATCAGAAAAATACCTTACTGAAGATGAGATATAGTGCATCAGTGCACTACTATCATTAACATAGTAATGCCTGATTAGCTCATCAACAGTAAGATCATATCAGCATGCCTCAGCAATGATGGTAGAAGGAGAAACTCAGTAAAGGAACTCATCCTATTGTAATCCAATAAATGACCTCCAGTTGAGTCAAGCATTGAAACCCTTTGGGATATTATGGGTGATCTTTGTTGCCAGCCAAATGATACAATGATATAGGAACTTCTGGAATTTTCTAAACATGCAATTGACCTCATCAGAGATACTACAATAGAGATTGAGAAGAAAATCTGAGAGACAATGGAAATGAGCAATGTCAAAGTTGTGTTGAGAACAAATTCTGAGCTTCTCAAAGGCAGACTCTGAAATGATCATAGAGCACTGTCTTTTTCTAGAGTAAGGAGTAATGTTATATACTGCTGCAAGCATTATATCAGAGAGTGTTTGAATGACTGCTCATCTTGCACATCTGAGTGGATGGGAAGGTCTGAAGATGTGCTTTTCTCCTATGACACTAGAAACAATGTTTTTGTTGAGGATGTCTTAAAAGACAGTATCATTCTTGAGAATGCTCTCAAAGAATAGGAGGATGGCAGAGTGATGAATAACTTAGTTTAAAGAGTGTAGATAGTGCTCAGAGTCAAAAGTAATGGTGGCTGTAGACATTCTGGCAAGGAATTAACCTTTGAATGCAAATGGATTTAGGCTTTACAGTTGAGAATGAAATGAAATGAAGTAGTGCATAAAGCTAGAGTTTAAGACAATTGAGAATTCAATATATATACACATATACTTGCTTTGTTTTTCTATACCAGTAGTAGAAGATTCTCAGGTGATGTATTGATATTCTGAGTTTGAGAGTATGAGTCATATGAACTAGTACAATAGAGGATGCATTATGAAATAATTACCTCTCATTACTAATTATACTTTGTGACTTGATCCACCTTTCTAGAATGTGTGATGCATTCCTTAGCTCTTTCTTTGTCTTCTATTTGTCCTCATTCTCTGGTAGTCTGATCCATCTGACACAATATTTCTTAATGTGTCAGTACTTGCCTGAAGTCTTGAACATTCTTTCTCCTTCTATCTTCCCAACTTCAACTTCTAGTAATTTTTTGAAGTGTGCATTCACTATATTTTTAATGGTCTGAATTCCAAATTCTAGAGGAGATGTAGAATATCTTTTCAAATGTGTGATATTCAAGATAGAATGAATTCTATAAGATACTGAGAGTCTGAGCTGGTATATGACTGGACTGATCTTCCATATAATTTTAAAAGGACCATCATATCACATCAATAGTTTCTTTTCCCTTTCTTTTACTTCCTTTAGGAGTTACAAGGAATGCAGAATCAAAAATACTTGGTCTTCTTCATTAAATTCTAAGAGAAGTCATCCTTGATTATAATGTTTTTGCTGATAGGCTTAACTTAGTTTCAAGGCTTTCTTTGCTCAAGTTTACTCAGCTTTGAATTGTTCCACTATGTCTACCACTTTGTCATTTCATAACTAAGATGTATATCATCAACTGATCCTTGATTGCTTACTGTATCACCAAGATCTTGAGAAATGTCTTCTGGTTTGGTCTATAATGTGGATTCTGTAGTAGGTATAAATCTGAATAACAAGTAAGCTGGTGCATATCTGGTGCTGCTGTGTGGCACAGAATTATATAACAGAGCTAGATCATTCAGGTACTGATGCCAATCAACACTTTCAGGGCCAACATATGCATATAAAGTCATTTCTAATCTTTGATTAAGAATCTCCATAGAAGAGATTTTGCATGCACACAAAACAGTCTCAGCAGAGAGCTATCCACTGATCACACCCACACTAACACACACATAATACTCTTAGTTTGTGGAGGGATTATAATATGATAAAGTAGCTGTAGCAAGTACAATCATCTTCTCAAATGATTTCACTGTGTGTGAATAGCAATTATACATGTATGACTGTCTCAGATCTCTCTAAGTCTCAAAGCTTTTCATTTTATCAAAAACAAGAGGTAGCAATGAATGTTGCCAGGCCTCAAGGCAAAGTCTACTGCAGCTCAATACAATACATTAAAACACTCTCACAAAACTCTCAAAATGATTCCAAGCACAGCTCAGCTCAATTTCAAATCTCTAAACACACACTACACAACTCAAAACTTAGCACTCTAAGCAGAAACCAATCACAAATATGTTCACAAGTTTCCAAACTGATCATAGACTCACAGGATTCAAACTTATGTGGTCCAGAGATACAAAAGACAATAAAATGCTGTCTGACAGATCCAAAAGGTTTGAACCTCTGCCACCTATAGTGCCATACATCACAAACATCTCAAAAACTCAAGATAGTGTTCTTTGGACACTGCTCTTTTATTCTTAGGCTGGAGTGCAATTCAAAATCTCTTATCAATTTGAATTCAAGTCTCTTATAAGCTTCTGTGCCTCACACAGTTCTCAATTCTCTCTCTATGATATCAATAATAGGTCTATTTTCTCACTTAAAGTAACAAACACAAACTCAGAGCTATAGTGCAAGGCTTTCTGTGCCCACTACACTACAACTGTGGGGGGGTTGGAAACTTGTCTACTACTCTTACAATGTGGTACTTAAATAGTCTACTACTGTATTTACTAAGATACACTAAATATGGTAATTCCAAAGCATGAAACTCCAGAATAGAGTCTCTGGCATATCATTTGCATGCATATTACAGTCTGACATGCATATTCTGCTCTGAGTCAGAACTGCCTTTTATTTCTCTCATGTGTAGTATGACCCCCTCTGGTATCATCCTGTTGCTAGGGCATGCTCTCCACCCATCATCACTCAAGCTAGCTGTTATATATGTCCCATTTCACTGTGCTCTAGCCATATTCTTTATTGTGTGCATAGTAGACTGTGATACAGTTGAAGTATTATTATAATTCGCAAAATTACATGCCTAAACATACAGCAGATATGTCAGCAGTGTACTTAGTTCCTAAGCACTGCCTTGGCTTCTTCTTTTGTCTTCATTTTTTTCATAGCCTGCCAAGTCCACTCAGTGTTGAATGGTTTTAGCCAGCCAGTAGAGGTCACTTCCCATGTTTGGCCTATGGGTGGTTGAGTTTTCATTCTTTGCAATTCCTTCAGTGTGTTCAGGGTAACAAGAGTGGGTATATTCAAATGCATGTATAAATAGATACCTATAGAGCTAGTATAAGTCCATTCAGTGGTATTTCAAGACACACTATGAAGTCCTTCAGCTGACTGAGTGGAATTACTCACTCATCAGCCTCATCTTTTACCTCTTTGATCTTCATATCCTTTCCATTCTCTTCAAGTCCTTCTGTCTCCTTCTGCAACTCAGTGATCTGTGCTTAAATATCTTCCTGTGTGCACTTCTTCAGGCAGTTCTGCAATACAAGCTCATTTTCTTCACAGTTAAAACACTTTTCCTCCTTCTTCATTCAGTCAATGTCCATTGGCTTCCTGGATCTGGTGTAAGTTGTTCTGGACCCAGTTTTCTGAGCAGTGTATGTTGAGGTAGAAGGATCAGCTTTGGAAAAAGAGATCAGTTTGTTGGTTTTAGTCTGGTTTAGGCAGTTGGACTTGTGGTTGCTCTGTTGATAGGTGTTCATGGCCTTCTGTTACTAATATTTCTTGTTCATTACCATAATTTGCTCTTTCCACTTGATGTATCTCTTTAGGATATTGAGGCTGATGTCCAAGATAATCTTCAAATAGAAGGGTGAAACCCTGATCTTTAGGGCCTCCACCATTTGTCCTTCTTCATTGACATCATCAAGTAGTCCAGCCAACTTGGCTAGATGCTCCAGCTTGTTGAAGTATTCACTCACTATCTTGTTGTTACAATTTTCTCCATATCTTTTTTTTTCTTATCTTATCAGGATGTCTATCTTATCTTGAGTGCTTTCTCAAAGAGCATGGGAAAATTAAGTAATCACAACAGACAGGCCACTATTGTATTCAGTTGCCTCACCCACAGACAATTCCCTATTGTCTTATCTCCAATGACCAGATAGGACCAGTATTATAGCATAGAACAGTATAATTGGCAGCAGTTATATTTATTATAAGCTGAATAGTATATAAGTAGGATAGCTCTTGCTGTAGTAGTCTAGCTTTGAGCTTTAAATTTATCTCACTCTATCTTCTCTCAAGCCTTGCCTGTCTTTGGCCTTGAAGCACTTCACCTATGAGAGCACATTTAGTGGTGATATGCAGGCTACATGTCTAGCCCTATAATTTCTGAATTCTGCATAACACACTAGAATATGATAGTAACTGAGGACCATTAGCTAGTAGAGAACTATGGCTGAGGCTCTGAGCTGATAGTCATGCTAGTCACCAATACTAGGTCTAAAGTAGACTTTGTAAAATAACATAGCATAAGGATAAAAATCCTAAGTCAGGTTTGAGCTTAGAAAAGTTGAGCATCACATCTTGGAAAATACTAAGTCCAAGTTGGACTTAGAAATGGTACCTCAAATGGGGCCAATTCTACATGCCACTAAGACAAGTATATTCTAAGACAGCTAGAGGCATAATACCATAGCCAGTTGTGGAGTATTGAGTAAAGATAGCATCATCCAGGAGCAGTAAGAAGAGAGACCCAATGATCTGTGGCTAGCACTGTGAGTTTTGACTCAAATGCCTAAGTCTGAATTTCCTAGGTATCAGGTGACCTAAGGGACTTAGAATTGAGAGGAATAGAGTGGATAGGACTGGTTGACCAGGCCTGACTGGGCCTGATCAATCAAGCTACTAAGAATAACTCAGAGGATTAAAACTCTGAGTAGACAGAAAGGAGTTAGATACCCACATGCACTGTAGGCTTAAAATAAAGCTGTGCAGTGGTCAGGTGGGTCTGGGCAAGCCTAGGGGAGTCCAGGAGTGCCGCCATTCCAGAATAATGGCGTGATTCTGCTTCAAACAGGAGAAATACTATTTTGAACATTTTGTTTATACATTCTGTTTTTGATGTATAAATATAGAGAAGGAGGGGAAGTAGCAAGAAAGTGACCCACCTCCATATTCAGGTCTTCTAGCTCACTGTGGTTAGTCCCTGGGACAATGGTTTTTGAGTTCTGCTTCAACTTAGTGATTTATTTAAGTTGCTTTGTCACTTAGAGAGGATTGGATTAGAATAATAACTGTATTTTGGCTTTCAGATTAATTTTAGTTCCAAACTATAAGGGTTTCAGCATCGGAATACAAGTTCTTCAGTTTTAAGGACTGCTAGCCAGCCAAGAGTGCAGCTAGTCAAGCCTAAGTGCTTGATAGACTTAGTATTTGAGTTTCAGAGTTCATTGGGTTTCAGAATATTCTAAGTTCATTTTGAGCACAATTGTGTATTGATTCTAAGTCTTAATTGTACTTAAACATTACTATAAACTACCCTCACAAGTATTTCATCTTTGAAAGCAAGATAGAGTTGAATAACTGTCTTTATTGACTGTTTTTTTGAATTTATTTAAGACTGCAAGAGTGCTTCTATTGTACTCAAAACAACCAACATCAATTGTATTTGGTGATAGTGTATTGAGTGGTTAGATGTTGGTGTTTGAGAGTTCACTCCTTATTTGCCTCTCTTAGTCACTTAGCCATTATGAAGCACATTACTGGCAGAAGCAGTGCTGAACATTTGTAGGTGTTTAATGATTGTCTCACAGGTGACAACCAAATAATCACTAATGCAATGCACTGCAACAGCTGGAGTCTGACACTAACTGAAGGTAAAGAAGAAGGATCAGGATCAGAATGTATAGGATGATGATAAAGAAAAGGAAGTATAGAGGTTGATAGACTATAACTGCCAGCATTGATACTGAAGTGGTAGTCACACCAAGATTTTAGGAGTTTGATCAGTATATTGACATTAACTTGAGACTAGGGCATATCACTGTATACTATACACTTAAATGCTGTATAGAAAAGTCTTGGTGATCTCAGAATCATCACTATATTCTTTCAATATATTATGTAGAATCATAAGAGACTGATTGAATCTACAGTGATCCTGTAGCTTCTGATCAGGAAGGCAGTGACAAATTAGAGATCACTGTTCAACCAGCTGAAAGCATGCTCCACAGACATATGCAAGGAAGAAAGTTTCCAGTTCCACTGTTTTCAGTCTGCAGCTTTAACAGGATCTTGAGTTAAGTCATGGTTTGTGAACAAGATCTATGTGAGCAGATAGCCTACTAAGCCAAACTCAGTATATAGTGCATCTGTAATGTGAATACCTACTCTTGTCAATGAGAATGTACTCATGCTGCTGAAAATGATCATCATGATACTGCCAAAGATGGGAATTGCAAAAGATCTTGCTGTCTTGAACTGAGAAAGATCATCCAAAACTGATGCCACTGGATCTCACCATCCCAATCCATGAGGGCTATGACTTGTCTGAACTGAATCTGAATTTCTCGATTTGCAAGAGCCTAGTTCACACTCCACTAAGATTCTGCTGAAGGGAATTGCCTTTATGGCCATCATGCCATCAAATAAACTGAAAAATAAACTGCGGCATGAACTGGAATTTGAGAAGGGCTGTTGGTCAAATTCCAAAGTATGTTCATTATCCCTTCTATGACAAAATCATGTCTATTACTGCTACAATTTGGTGATTCCACTGATACTGTTCCTTTATGTGGCGAATGGCCTGGAATGCACACAACTATCATATAGCATCATTTGCATGATAATCATCACTCGCCACAAATTACATTCTATGGATCGATGTCCATTTAATCAAACTCGGGGCACAGGAATACAACCAGAAAGTAAATTTCCAAGTCATACAATTAGGCGAAACGATCCAGAATAGTCCAAACATTAAGCCAATTCGCAAACTCATTAGATGCATCTTCTTCATCAAAAAAGTCTGCTTTATCCAATGAGAAGATCACTCCCAATCCAGTTTCTTTCAGTTTATATACCTGCAACAACCACCCCTTCCAGTCAGAATTATCCGGAAAGCGATAGGTCCTCAAAGCCTCGGTGTCTGGAACCGACAAGACCAGCGATTGCAGCCCACATTTGTGTCGAGATATAGTCATATCATATAGTGAATCATCTTCAAATAATGATCTTGCTGTACAGCAGATATGCAGGGACAATCGCTGAAGACATGGGACGAACGAAGGCTCGGCCAATATTTGCACTATTTCAGTTGACATTTCCTCGTTTATGGCAATGACAAGATCTGTGAGGGATGTAAACGTCCCCATGGCGATATCGTTGAAAACTGGTAAAGCCAGAGGCCTGTACACAGCGAAGGATCGAAGACAGGGTTTGGAGTGCTTCAGAAATTTGGAGATCATTCCAAGTTCATGTACAGTACAACTGAGTCCCGAATGCTGTTCTTGAAGACAAGCAAAAAGAGACAGGTCCTCCAGTGCTGGAAAAATACAATACTTCAGATCTGTGGGGATATCGTATCGCAGTGAAAGCTGTCGGATATTTGTATGGGTTATTTCCGGTAATGGTCCCGAAAATTTCTGCACGTCCGAAGGACCCTCATAGATCCTTTCAAAGGTGAATGATTCCAGTTCCGCCCCTTTACCAATACAATCATAGAACAGGGATGTTTCAGAAGTCCGGCATCGCTGAGGTTTGAAATTGATGGTCGTGAGTTGATGAAGAGGAAGCGATAGTTCGTCAAAGAAGTCGCCAGCTATTTTGACCGAGCGTAGTAAAGGAACGGAACAGAAAAGCTGGGACATGGTGGTATGAAAATTCTTCTGTGAATGATAATTGGACAGGGTGAAATCCAAGCTTTCCAGCATTGGGAGGGGTCCTGAGATGTTTGAAAGTCCAAAGATGCTTTTCAGATCATAGAAACGAAGAGAAAGGGATATCCACCATTGAGATGTAGGAGCGATGTAATCCATCATTATTGTGCATGCCTCTGTGGAAGTGCCCACGCCCTGCATTGACATCCTGAGGGGATAATCTCTCGACAGAAAGAAGGCAGTGTGGAGGAGGAGACGATTCTTCGAGTTGTATGATTCACTCGTCTCCCCGAAGAATTTAGTTAAATTGATGTTCACCCTAGACCAAAGGGATGGCTCTGACAGGACAAAGGCCCTCCATGTGGAGCATACACTATGAAGGATGAATGGAGGCAATGAGATGCAGATCTCACTACCTTCAGCTGCCAAATTGAATATGTGCAGAAGGATGTCAGATGGCATGCATCGGATAGGGGATAAAAGGGATTTATTATGAGAGAGATCTGTCATGGCATGATCGCACTCCTCTTGAAGACGTTGGAGAGAAGATTAGGTCATAGTGATTTTGTTTTGACGAGATTGCACTTCAATATCGAGACGTGTGATTTGGGCATAAATGGAATTGATGGTGGTAGAGTCCAGGGACGAGAAGCTTCCATGAAGGAGGGGAAGGAGGCCCTCGTCGGTGATATAGGGTTTATAATTGACCAGCTCAAGGCCAGAAGAAGAGGATGACTTTTTCTAATAGCACGTTAGAGGAGGTACATCAGCTTGAATGCATCTGATACATACCTCGGCTCTATCCATCTTCCTTGTGAGCATCTTGTTTACCTCGATAACGGCTAGGAATAATCTGTCAGTTAATGAATCAGGCTATTTGAGAATGAAGGTGGAAACGAGGTACGATATACCTACCCAAGAGACGACAGGATTGCAATAGGAGATGGTGATGGTGATGGTGCCAAGGTACGAAGTTCGCTGGTATCTTGGCCTAAATACTTTGCAAGTGAGATGTCTCATATCCTGGTCTTTCATATGATATATGCAAAAGACAACATCAGAGAATCACAGTCGAAACATGGAACATGATTGGTGAGTTCAGACCAAAATGAATTAGTAAATCAAAGTCATCTTTCTAGAGACGCCAGGCTCTGCATTAAATGGTCCACCTAATATGCTGTGAACCTGAAAGCAAAGTAGAACAGTCAGAAGCCGCATGCGTGAAGAGAACATGAATGCATCAACCTATCACCACTCGGAGCTTGTGCAAAAATGTTATCAGCATCGAAGTATCTTGACAGCTTAGCTGCTTTGACTATACAAGCATGTATAAGCCAATAATTAGAGATCGCATGATGATGGCATTCACATTGCATAGGTCATGATATTCTTCGCTAAGAGCCTCGAGGATGGCCCCGAACACTGTCATGGGCTTGTTGATATCGCCGTCGTCAAGACAGACTAAAGTGCTATACCATGGCTCTGATGTCCCCAACACCACCTGACACATGACGAGACATAGCATCATCGATGGAGAGTATACTATTCATATTAACTCTTCGCCTGCATCATACATTAGGTATGACTTATGGGTGTAAGCATGGACTGCGGCAGAGTACCGGATAACTCTCGATACTGATGATATGACTCAGAAGGGACTGCTATGGAGGGGCTCTAAATTACACTGATTGGATCATTTTAGGGAAATTCTGAAAAGACGGTACCGAGACAATTTTCTTCACGAAACATGCTGAAGTAAGACTACTGTGGTGAATGATGCCAAGGAACAGAGACCTTTTGCCCAAAAAAAATATTCCAGAACCTGCTATATGACACTTTGATTCAGCTCGCAAGTAGGCAGGCAGTACTGTGATAGTGGCGGTGAGAGATCAACAAAGATGGCAGCCCCTGAACTTCTACCTCCCTCTCCCATCATCATCGTCGCAGACATTAACCGGGGCTGGTTGGTGATGACGACAAACTCAAGGCGACGCCAGCAAATGGAGCATTAATACATCCAGCAGCATCTTCAAAAATGAATTTTACCTGTTTCTTGATGCGGTCCCTCCCTTGTACTAGTCATACTGAGACTCAGACACGCATATATGCCAGTGAAACTCGATTCAGCCCATCATCATACCAGACAGTGAAAGCGGCGGACAGAATGGAAAATTCTCTGGCCGTCAAATAGTCGGCATTGCCTTTGCTGGTACGTCTTTATTTATTTTACAGCCTACGAGGTGATTTTCTGACCCTCATCATCTGCTTTCCTGGGATTATTCGTCTTAGGGTGTATGTGCGACTACTGTTACACGCCATGCAGGCTTCACCAAGCGGATGCAATTCAGCCCGATCCTGAGCCGGATGTAGTAACGCCTTTAACCTTGGACACCGGAGTTAGAGGTAGTCAGGCCAGTGAACATACAGATAATAAAGACAATGCAGATACAGTTAGGAAGGATAGCACTGTCAGTCTTTCCTCCTTCTGGGCGGACATTCATTGATACTGACGATGCCTGTAGACTATAGTGTCTCTTTATCCTCCTCCCCCCCATACAACCGAAAGGTATGGGACAGTTCTCCGCTTTGATATATCGAAGCTTACTGCTCTCAGACTTATAACCAAAGGGGTAAGATGTATCCGCCCCTTGTCGGCATTATATGATTGATGCATCAACGGCTTCGACATATATCTTTACTGTCCAGTTTAAATGTTCCCTACAGCTTGAGTAACAGGGGTGGCGTTTAATAGAAAGATTGTAGCCGATCCCCCATCCTCACGTGATTACAACCTAAATGCCGGGTATCGATATAACCGCTGTATAACCAGAATGTACCCGTCTTGTATTCCATAAACAACTATACCTGGCGGGACATCAGTTCAAAGGTCGCATGGGCGAAATACATACACACTGGTCAATTTCTTTCTGTCAGGTCAAATATATTTTTCTTGCCTTGAGGATAGACTAGCATGTAAACAACTACAACAAAGGGGATAGCTGACCCAATTAACTACATAATGTCTTTCGAGTTGAAACAGCTATCATGGTGAATGCATCAAGTGAAGGACACCCATGAACGTTGACCAGGACCGTCAAATCTCTGGCGATGAATCGATGACCCCCCCAAAATGATTAAGATGCTCTGAGAACTACTTGTCCTGGTTTGAGGCCTGGAGCATCGAAGTATTAGCAAATAGACAGTGAAAAAGTGTATAAAGGCTCTGCAGCACCGATCCAGCCACCACCTTGAGAATCCTTCTACTCTTCGTGCTCGAAGAATTAGCCACCTTGGGCGAGAATACTCCTGGCTGACAAGGTCCTTCAATTAATTATTAGGAGATAAATCAGTAAATGGTATGCGAGGCATACAGTGGTGAGGTGAGTACCTTTATTCATCTTGAAACAAGAGCAGAGAGACTGAAAATACTAAAAGGCGTCGAATGGTACTTTTTGGTACGTTTGCCTGGCATTTATTGACCTAGTACCTATTGATACTCAGATATTTTAATGCAGATCTGTTCAGTATTTTCGAGCTGTCGGAACATTAGGCTCACAATTCGTGGCTCTCCTGCATCCTACATTCAAGAGTGTCAATATCTCCTCAGCAAAAAGGTATCTCATGAATTTCTCATCAAACCCCCTCCAAATCCTGGTCCTTTAAACAAGTTGGTCATTGAAAAAAAGGCATCATGGACTAATTCTTATACGGATTTGAACGGTGGGCAATCATTTCACATTCGCAACAGTATCTATGCACCTCTCGATTTTGCTAACATGGTTGTTTCTGTTTTCTAAAAATTTTCCCACAGCATGGTTCGCTCTCATGAGGCTCCACGAAAAAATGAGCCGCTTCAAGAACTGGGGGTCTGGCCACAACACCAGGTCGCTGCAATGGGTCATTGCTGGACCGGACATTGGGTCTAAAGAAATGTATACGGTCCTTCTAACAGTGACGAGAAGATAAATCAGTAAATGGTATAGGAAGCCCACAGTGCTGAGAATCACCAGAGACATCCTTAGCTTCATGGCGCATCAATTTCGGACGTATCAGCATCAGAATAGTGGGATTTCAGAGAAATTTAAGAGGAGAATATATGGGCAAAGCAAACGTGCAGAATAAATCAAAGTTAAGGAAGGAAGAAACGCCAAAATAGGAGCCTTAATCACCGTGGAAGTACCCGGAATCGTCCACAAATCCGGGATGCGAGTCCGTGGGGAATTCATCTTTGATTCACCCCTACTCTTTGATACCCTGACCGCAACTGGCCACCAATCGTGGTTGAAGCCTTGCCCTCCTCCTTAGCGTTCTTTCCTGACTCCACAAATGCACCACCAAGCTGGCAGGATTGGGTGACGACCTAGCTGTGTATTTATATATCTTTCAGCGAGTCAGGAATTTAGCACTCTTGCCACCTCTGAATTTCCACGTGAACGGTCAAGTCCGCACTGTGAAAGGCTGGCGAATACCAAGATCCTGTCTTTCTGCCCATGACAGAGATGACTGCGAATTTACGCCGATATATAGGACATTGAATTTAACGAGCTATAATCTAGGATGAGAATCAGTAAGGGAGGATGGAGCTGGGTGGCAGGAACGTCATGAGGTTAACTTTAGTTTCATCCCTTATCGGAGAGTAAATTTAGATGTCGTTTGCAGGCCGAACCTTTTATCTCTATAATTCACTTCACGTCAAACTTCCGTGGGCTTCGCGCCACACCAAGGAACCATCATCCGTTTTATTACATTCATCCAATCTTCCTCTGGATGCGCTTTCTCATATTGTCTTCCTATTCGCCATAGCAGGGAGTATCGTGATGGCGTATTGAGTGAAACGCGTCAGGCCGATTGAATGCAGGGATAAATATAGCACAAGACACTGGACTGGAGGAGATCAGGAGGGTTAGGAAGACGTACGACTCATACATGTTAATACAAAGCCTTGCTGATCGGATGTTTCCTGACAGTACTATTGTGTGCAGGCACCCCGCGGATATTGACTACTAGACCTACCAACACGAGTCCCGATCAACCACGTTGATGATATTCAGTTCTCACGAGGTGGATCTTGAAACCCGAACAGAGTGATTCACGATACGAACAGGCGTCGAAGTGTACTTTTCTCTTTTCTCTTTCCCTGGTAAGCAAATTTATCTTCCTTGTTCTTATAAATTAGGACTCAATAATGCTTTGGTATGAGATCCATGTTTCTATCTGTTTGACTTTGAGCTAGAGCTACTCACCGTACCATACATATTATACGGCTCTGAAGCCACGATCTACTCACAGACAAGAAAGTTATATGCCTTCAATAACCGTAAAATGCACCTGGTTTTTTAATCAACTAGGCCATGTTGTGCAAGACGAGATGTATCTAAGAATTAAACGCTTGCTACCCTGAATGCATACAGGAAATTGATGAAACAGTGAGAAAAGTCAACCTGCGAAGGACTTTGCAGTCTCGATGTTTTGCATGTCAGGTGGAGAAGAGAAGCCCCTTCTACCAAAAAAATCAGAGTATATGACTTGTAAGATCTTCTGAGGAAACAGCATACCTTGAACTTGAAAGCCTTCAATATCAGTCATATCCTGCCATGTAAGGTATAAATATGCAAGAGGGTTCAAAATGGTCGTGTGCCAGTGGACGTTCTATGTGAGAGACGAAAAATCTCATTCATATGGATGGACAGGATGACCCATAAACGACCAAAGAAGCCGACAATCCAGCAAATACAGACCTATTTATGTCTAGCATGAAGAATAAGTATGAATTATTCAAAGTTCAAAGAAAGAGACTTGCCAGTACGTTACAACAAGGGATGAATTCAAAAGGAGCTCCATCTTCTTTGACGTTATAGAATTGCATGAGAGACCGAGGTCGTAGCAGGAACATATTTCCCTCAAAGCCACCTGATAACATAGTCAGTTATAGCATCCATTGAGAAGTACAAAAGTAACACGTTGGCACTCACGTATTCCAACAGAGTCCAAATCCAGGACGAAAACATCGGAGAAATAACAGAAGCCGGCTCACGAATCGGCTTTACGGTGAATGCATAACGATTACGATATCCGCTACGTCATCCGCTACGTTTACCATGAATCTCGTTCACAGGAAGTGTTGCAATGACATGCAATGGAGCGACAGCGGGAATGGGGGGAGGAGAGAAGCGTCGGACGTGACTAACGTGAGTGAAGATTATATTTTACAAATTGACAATTTCAACTGAACGAATTACGACTTGAAATTGTCATCCTATTAAAGAATACTATCCAATGTGTACTCAGCCAGTCTTAATAACCCACTCTTTTCTGCTAACCTTGATTGGAATTTTGTTGGAATTTTAGCTCGAAATGTTTCATATACCTCAAGAGATATGAATGCAGACTTGGTGACGCACAGTCAGGGGCCGATACGCGTGTCTAACACATAGAGAGTCGTTCTCTTCACCCATAATCTAAGTTCCATGGTAGTGAAGTGAGACATCTTTACTTCGTTCAAGTCTGGAGAAAGCGGAGACAGTTCACGTTCACGAAATGTATGAAGCAATGCGCGTCCTTAATCCCCCGACTTGTTTCAAAAATAGCTTCTGGAACTTGTATTTAGGTTCTCGAGTTTACATGCCAGCATTCAGAATGAATGTTCCCATTTAAATGGTCTATTAATATCGCCGGCATTTCCCTCCGATGTTCTTTGATTCCAAGTCGGAATTACCTGTGGCGTGTATACGTCCTCACACTTGCCCGCTCGAAGTCTGCACATTAAGCATTTGTTGAACTGAATCTAGTCAATAGCCTTTTTCGAAGCATCATATCATTGCAAAATGGCTGCTTCATTTGTCTTCAGACCCAGACATGGAAGTATTATTGACAGCGATGGATTCTCGCGGGATTATGTATGTACTTATCTTCTGTCCATCATCCAATTACTTCCTTATATATCCTCCGAAGAGTAGAACCTTGACTCAAAAAGATGCCAGGCCAAGTTATCATCATCATCCCATCCTTCACCTACCATGGACTCGCTTTCAGTACGTCTGCTTCATGATAGTTTACACCCATGCTCATTTTTCTAGCCTGGTTCGCGCGTTTCCTTCTACGACTCGACCGGAAGACTAGTGGGAGGTGTCGTCGAATCTACAATTCGCATGGCGAACGTGTGTGTCCTCTTCATAAATGTGCCTTTCAACTGATATGCTACAGGGTATGCAAGTAGTCCGCGTCAAGTGTGACAGTGGAAGTAGCATAACCTTACCGTAAGTACGACACTTCTGTGGTAGTGCTGTCGCTTCCCTCTCATTTACATAGGGCGGCAGGACTATTCCAAGGTTAGCCGTATTCCCGACATGGTGCGGAAATAAGACCAAAGAAGGCACCTATTCCAATACTGAAAAATTTTTCGTACTTGTATACTTACATGAGGCGATGCAGTGGATAAAATCATGTCTCCATCTGAGGGTAAACACCCCGATGGCGTAGAGATAAGAAAGTATACCAATATCCGCCGACTACAGCATCGATGACCATAAGAATGGATTTTAAAATAGGGAAGGATCATGCATAAACGGACTCCCCATTGTTTGTTAAACATGGAAGCAATAGAGAACAGAGAACACGACGACAGAACAGAGAGCTACTGAAGGAAATAATACGGCGTTTCACCTCTCGCATCCAAGTAGGGAATTTGCTCCACCTCTGCGGTGACAAATGTCGATCGGAGAGTTAGATTCCCATATAACTTACACAGAGAGTTATTTTTTCCCTAAAATGTTGTATTGCAGCACATGGCATTGGTTACTACGACTGTCCTCGAAGTATTTAGCGGGGGTACCAAATCCGGACCTGACAAAGATCTGCCGTTGTCCACGGTCAGCTTGGCGACCTGGGTTACGAGTACCAAATAATGAGCTGTGGGGAGCTTTGGAATAACGATGGTCTTTCGCGAGCGTCAAACAACGAAAAAGGAAAGGTTTGGTAGTCAAGAAGGAAATGATGGGATCGGCCAAGATTTTTAATTTGAAATCATCGGACTTGGTCCTCAGCAGAGAACTCGACCCCATTTCTTTCTAACAGATTCTTTCCAAACAGAAACAAGGAGGCCGGATCTTGTACGACCTCAACTGCTCGCGCGCCATCTTGATTGTTATCCTTTTTTTTATCCGCAACGACTCAGGTGAATCAGTTCATTGATTATGGCACTTGCAACCATGCCAGTGTGCCAGAATCTGCGGTTGAAGATACGGTCAAAGACATATCTCCCACGGGCTCTGTTTGCACCCGCTGTCTCAGGCAAAGACGTACTCATCAAAATGATGAGAACTCATGTTACTGCTCAGCCTCGGGTGCTGTAATAGTGATCTATATTATCGTCTATTCTGCAGCCATCCTCGACACCATCACGGCGAACAGCATCGGCATTGAACGGTATCTGCGTAGTGCTTGATGGTTTCAAGCTTAGTCTCTCGGAACCTGTCGTCTTCAGGCTCCAAATCATTTAGTATCGGTACCGGGGAAACTTGTGACGTTGAGTAATAATGCAGATGAGCCATACGGCAAGGAGGGAAGGAACGGCGGACGGGGAGTCGTACCCCCGCTTCGCGCGTAGTCAAGACTTGGAGACCCATCTCACTCGCACCATTATCTCCGGCGATATCGCTGCTCTCGTTATCACATCTGTTACCTCAGGACGCCCTTTTCCATGCACGCTTCAAACCTCGAAATTACCATATCCTTTGTCTCTACACTGAAAGCAGAAAGGACTACCACCTTCGGGCAGATCGGGCGAACGATTCTGCATAACTCTCTTCTCGGCTCCTTACATGTCCTTGTCTAGGTCAAGTCCCTCTTGCCCTTGCATCAATGCCTTTTGCTGCGTCCACATGCCTCAATGTTTTCTTCCTTGTGTACGACAACCTATCTGTTCGTTATTCTTAATCCTCTTCTGAGTAGAAGGCGTTTCATCTCGTCTCAACTGTGATCTATCCTGAGCTCGTTTTACATGCCAGCATCGCTTAAAATGCTGTTCCTATCACCGATACGGAGTCTTCATGGTCCCATCACGTCCTCAGAGCGCGCGTGCGAGACGCATGCATCAATAAACAGTATGGTCGGACTTCACTGTGGTGGTGGTGTCCGATTTCTCTGCGTTAATGCCGGTCAGATCAAATCGCTTTTGCTATGGAATAAAATGAACCTTTTCAGTTCCCAAATCTATACCAGAGATTAAGTCTCTACTTGTACCGCTACGCCTTCCTCTGGAGGTACATACGCCTTTCATCGGAGAAACCTGCCCTGTCTGTCTCGCATTATTCATGTATCATCCTAGAGGATTACGGCCTTGCTTCACGGTTGAAACTTCTTTCAGAGGTACGCTACAGCGCACCGGATCTCGAACAAGGAACGAAGGACACGTACAATACAACGTTGGTGACAACTCTACTTCGGGGGTGAGTTTCAAGCTTTGGCATCTTTACCCCTAGTCCCGTATCATTCGCGTGATGCTGCAAGTTTGCATCCGGTGATGTGCCGTACGTCAATGTAAATGAACCATGCGCTACGGTCGATCCGTCGTAGTGCAGTGCTTTGTGGTGTCGAAATCTAAATCTCCGGCACAGCCACCTGGCTTTATTAAACTCTAATGATTTAGAGGTATTTAAGTCGTCAGGGCTAAGGAGTATGTATCCCACTGACTATTTCCGCTATGAATGCCTTTCCTGTGGGTATCATCTGAATTACTTACATCGTAGCGATGCTCACTTCGATAGATTGGCTCGCGTGTCTCGTTTTTCGACTCGACGGGACAACTCGTCAGAGGCGTCGTAGTATCTACCAGTCATATGGCAGATGTGAGTACCGGTTTATTTTTGGAAGGAGGGAGTTTCCACTGACTGGGACAAGGGCACACAAATGCTTCTCATTAAACGGGAAAATGGGGGGACGATAATCTTGCCGTGAGTAATTCCGTGGCTTCCTTTCTGTACTGTGGTAGACTCTCACATGAGCGCAGATCTGCAAGCGTGTCTAACGTGAATGATTAACTGGTCGTGGGAAGATAGTCGGAAGCATTTGTTTTATACCCAACTGTTCAGAGTTTTATACCACGTTGACCATTATGACCGCAAAAAAGAAAAAAAAAAAACAACGAACATATTAGCATCTTACAGTGCACTGTAGTTTGTAGCAAAAAGAGGCCTCGGGTTCTAATCGGACTGAAGCGACATTACTATGTGTGTTGAGATGAAGAAGGGCGTATACTAACATTTCCGCACTGCGCTTCCTTTAGAAACTGTGTTATAAGTGGCATGGCTGATATAACTTGACTAAACATGAGAGTTTCTGAATCGTTGGTGATAATCGATCATCCCAAGTGGGGTGCGCGCTGTAACCGTATTGCGCGGTTGTACGGGTTCCATGTACCGTATACATGCCGAAACTGTGACGCCTTCTAGCAATACCGTACAACACGGCCGTATTATTTAGCGGTGCTGAAGTGGTTTGACGAGGGATTTTGAGCTGTGTGTACACATTCTAAAGTGAATTAAAATAGTGTGTACTCGTGTTCTCTCAATTTCCTACATGTCCGACACTCTTCTGACTATAAATTTTCATTGTAAGGCATTATGATGTCATGATTCAAGCTTTGGAGCCTTGTAAAGCACCAAAAAATGACCGATTTCTTCATTTAGATCCACTCTATACTTGCAAAACAAGTTAGTACATTATTCCATTACTTTGCGTCATACTACAAAGTATTACAGGATGAGCTCGCCATAATGAATATACGGCCGTGTACGACTGTGACGGCCTTAATTATATAGACCTTAGGAGTTTGTAGGTTTCTTTTTTTTTCTTTTTGTGGAATGATTGGTATGGCGTCATTCACCCCAACTCCGACTAGCGGAGTGGCACGCCAATGACATTGTACTTAGCCCGTCAATGGATCGGGGGCTTATAACCTCGTCAGCTTGATAAGAATTCATAGATGTGTCATAAGGCAACGGTTAAGTAAAGGCGCCGCACGGTGAACTGACCATACGAAGTAATGCTTTTACACACTGATTTTCGCGCATTGTGGAGCAGGGCCTGTGTGGCACTCCACCGCATAGAGTTCTTCTTGATCACAATTAGTACCAGGCCATCATCTAATTGACAATACCCACAAAGCCCCATTTTCCCTTGTCCAGTCTTCTGGGAGGGAGCTTTCCTGAGGAAGCGTTCCCTTTCATGTATTTATAACGAGAGACTTGTATTACCTTCTTCTAGAAGTATTTCTTTTCTGATAGTATATAATCCAGCCGCATCCAACGATTTACTGCTTGTGACCGCCGCTGTTCAATTTCGCTTGCTGTGTAGTTGGTCTTTCATTTATGACCCGGTCGTTCCTAATCTTCTCGGTGAGATGCGCCAACTCTGGAAACAGTATCCGGCGGAACCTTTCTGTGGCCCGTTTGATCACATTTCCGTGGGTCTCTGGAGGCTGGACACCGCACAAGATGATGATTCTTTTCATGATTACGAGGTCGGATACGATCTTCTGTTTCCATAGATGCTGTGCAAGGTGCCATACTTCGTGCTTTCTTTGATGTTGCATTTCTGACACTGAACTCTATCTTCGCAGCCGTAAATGTCTATCCAGTTCGTGTGGCCACGTCCATAGGAAGAAGCTGGCCGATCGGTTGAAATCTAGCCATCTAACAGAGGTCCAGACCTGTTCTGTCATTACTTCTGCCTCTTACCTCTACCCCCCGGCAACTAGAGCTAGTATCACATTTTTGTTGGTGTCTCTCCGTCAAGCTTATCCTGGTATGTTTCTGTTTGAATTTTAGTTTTCTTGATGATCTCGTACGCTGTGGTTTTCATCATGGCTACTATTTTTTCTCCCCGCGTACTTATTTCGGACGGTATAGTTAGGGGAATCAAGTCGGGGACCATATTTGTGTCGTTTCTACATGAAGGAATGTTGTAATGAAGGGACCTGATGTCACGAGTAATCGAAGGCGGAGAACTGAGAGAGGATAGGATAATTCTGATAATGAGAGGCGGAGAAAAGGGATGTGAGTGATTTCTAGGAGAAATTGCCGTCGAAAAACGAATAAAAAGGAGTTGTGTTCCTTCGTGGATATCAGAAGCAGTGGATACCCTCTTTTACTATCGATTCCTATGGGGTAGTGTGACTCAGTATTATCCTGTGATCGATTTTACAATGCCTCCCAAGATGCCTCCACATTCAAACTCAATTCCATGCAATTAGTCGTTGAGAGAGAGCAGTATATTTTCGCCAAAAGCACTTGGGCAACGATAGCGTTTTATCAGATCAGCATGATTCAGTATATAGTACAATGTTAGACTTGTGAAGCTATATCAATCTATAAGGCCAGGCTTAAGCCTGAGCCTTGTACGACTTGGGCTCAAGGCTCGGGCTTGTGAAGTGGCGTGGTTCATTTCGAAACTGCGCTATAAATTGGCATGGCTGGTAGGACCTGACTGGAACACGAGATGTCTGAATCGTTTGTGATAATTGATAAACTGCAATCGCGATGAAATTCCTGGACAAGCTCATTTTGCAGGGAGCAAGTATTCATCAGTTCGTCGGATGGATGGTGTTGTTTGGTTCTGAAAAGAGTCAGTAAACCGAGTGGCGAACAATAAGATAGATGCGACCGACGTGGATCCTCGTTGACATCGCTGGTTTAATGAATACTAGATAAAGAAAGTCGTTGACTCGACGTGCGCCGCGTGGGGGGCTGAGAAAGTCGTATTTCTGAGGAAATTGGCAAATATAGCGTCGGTATAAGTGCTTTTGAGTGGAGTAAGGACACCCCATCATGCTGAGGCTGGCGCTCTGTAGAATAATGATGCTGGTAAAGGTTACTGTGACATATAATGGGGAACTCAACGTACACTTCCGGATAACCGGGTGTCTCCGTTACGATACGAGGAGAGGTTCCGATCTGTGGTCTGACTCACTGCTAGCAACGCGCTGCGATGCTCTATGCAATCGACATTTCCGCTTTTCGGGTGCTCTCGAAACTGCACCGCAAAAAGAATGGTTAATATAGCCTAACTGAATCATGCGACGCTGCCGTTGGAACACAAGCCTGAAAGATGGTTTGACGGAATGATCGATTGATGTCCCGTTACTATGCTAATTGCGTTCAAGAAATCGCTCGTACTCTTGAATATAACACTGTTTGCTCCTGTGGTAATGATTCCTTAGATACTCATGTTTCTATGATACTTAGCCATGCTATGGAGAATGCAGTTTTGTTGACATACTAAATGTGCCGCATTTCCGACTGATACTAATCATCTCCCTCCTTTCCATTGTAGATTTTCTAATTTTAGCAGTATATAAAATTAGACACTTTGTAATCGAGCCCCTCCCGTGTTTGTGAGGGTTCCCTGCTTATCCCCGAGTCCCCACTATCCACCTGCTTAAGGTATCCGTACTTCGCATACTTCAACAACTATGATTTAAATAGGACTGTAATTTGGTACATTAATGAACAGCATACTTATGCTCAAGTGCCCGCTATACTAAGGATTTCAATAGCTGTTGAAGTGGAAGGTCTGAGTTGATAATAATCCAAGTATGATGAAACGTTGGGGCAATACAGCGAGTTCGTGTCAGAGCGCTGTATCCGTCAGCGCGTTGGAGGAATGTATGGATAGAGAGGTACTCACCACGCCGTTCGGAGCAGGTAATCTGCCGTGAAACGTGTCGTTGGGTTTTGGAAGTGCAGGTGCGGACAGAATGAGTTCACTGTGGTGAAGGGCTGGGAAGGAGCATAGTTGCAGTGTAATATGTCTCTCTTTCCTGCAGGTTGATCGCAGAAACTGATGGGTTGGGCCAGGAAAGGACGGTGCAATGGAGGTTGTCAACCATTCGGATCCATAATGGAAAAGGAGAGGACGATTAGTATTGGAACTCGCGGTTGATATGTAAGCGGGATAGAAACGATGTTCATGATAGTTGCGGTAGCGATTCCCTTTATACTACCCCAATACGTAGAATGTGATAGGATATTTAGGAAATGTATCACTAAGAAAATGAGTGAGCATCCCAGGGAAAATGGGGAGAGCGAGCGAGAATATTCATGCAAGGTCGAACGTCAAAAAATAGAAATCCATATTTTACTACAATTGTGCGTTGGGAAAGACGTCGAAGAGAATGTCACATGGAGAGCATGCTCCTGGCTTTTCAAGAATTCATGAGTTGTATTTTCTGGACAACGTGATCTCGCAGGTGTGGCATACCGAGTAGAAATGAGAAAGAGACATATGGGCTGGCTTTCGTCTCGTCAGGTGTCGGATGCAGTATTTCGAGCCAGATACGGAATCGGGATCGAAAATGACTGAGCGCCGTTTTATGTGTAAGGCGGGGTTTTTGGTAGTACCACGCGGCCATAAGAGAGGGGATCTATTGTTCGAATCTGCGTAGTTTGTGAAGGAATGTTTCGATGAAGAGACCTGATATCGCCACAGGCTGATGGTGATCGAAGGCGGTGAACTGAGAGAGGATAATGATCATAATGAGAAGGTCGAAGAAAAGGGGCGCGAGTAATTTCTTCCCTCTGGGCAGGGGAGATCGCCATCGAAATAGGGAGAAGTGAGAATAAAAAGGGATTCGTGTTCCTGCGCGCCTATGGGACGCGTGGGTGGGCAAGCTGGGTTCCCTCTTATCCGTATTTTCCCCTCAGGTCAGAGCCCGTAGGTGCCTACAAGAACGCAGCATGCACTGCTGGACAAACCGTCGTCCGGTCTGGAAATCGTCTACGGTTTCGCTGTGAACGGTTACAGTCTGATGCTGAGTTGATTTGGAAGTGGTAAGACGCCGCTTCATGGGAAAGAGGGCGGGGTAATTTTCAGAGCCTTGAAAATACCAGTGGATCGTCAGTCCGAGTGCCGCGGCTGAGAAGGAGCGAGCGGTATACATGTCCGTCTCGCAAGAGCAGATGACCCTCCCCGAGTTGTGAGTGGTGATACTTGGAGAGTGGAAGCAAGCGAACTATGGATTCTGGGAAGTTCTGGTTCCAGCTATACGACCATGGTGGCGAGTGGAATGTTTCAACATTTGATAAATTTGAGAGGAGACTGGTGTTCTCGATAAGGTCGAATGTCCTGGCCCGAAAGGATCGGTACGAAAAGAGGAAGAGAAGCTTTTTCTGAGCAGCACGTTGGCATTTTCTCGAAGGAAGGGAAGATAAAAATCAGAACATCGTTCTAATGAACAATGACGTGGGGGAAGAGAAACGACCTTGATCGAATAGAAGAGGTTATCCACCTGAAGCCTTTCATATAATTCCCTAGGATTGCGTATCCGTGTTTTTTAAAAAAAGCGTCGAAAAGGGAATCGGAAATGGCGGACCGGAATTGAAATCCCACGCACAGACACCCTAACGTAATACGAAAGCGGTGTCATAATTCAAACTCCGCTTTAAACTGGAGTCGGGCCCAGTGTGTGTCGCCTGCTCCTATACACTACCACCACCTTGTACGGAGCGCCTTCTACCCTTCTTTTTCCCTCTTGCACGCCATGTCTGAAATCCGAAGAAAGCTGGTCATTGTAGGCGATGGTGCTTGCGGCAAGGTTTGTCGGTGCTCTGACTGGTGTTAGGCGCCAATGCTGATTGCGTGCCGTAGACCTGCCTCTTGATCGTCTTTTCAAAGGGAACATTCCCTGAGGTGCGTTTCAGCTGCGGTGAGTTGTGTTAGTGGGGTTGCTGATAGATGAGATAGGTGTATGTGCCCACTGTGTTTGAGAACTACGTTGCGGATGTCGAGGTGGACGGGAAGCATGTCGAGCTTGCGCTGTGGGATACGGCGGGGCAGGAGGATTACGACCGGCTGCGACCTCTGAGCTACCCTGACTCGCATGTCATCCTCATCTGCTTTGCCGTCGACAGTCCGGATTCGCTTGATAACGTCCAGGAAAAGGTGAGCATGAGTGTACTGGCCTGTATGTATACGCTGCTAAACCACCCCCTCCCCCCCTCTAGTGGATCTCAGAAGTGATGCATTTCTGCGCCGGGTTGCCGATTATCCTCGTTGGGTGCAAAAAGGACTTGCGGCGTGATCCGAGGGTGATTGAGGAGCTGCGAAAGACGAGTCAGAGGCCTGTGACGCCGGAAGAGGTGCGTCCCGTCTTGTCTTGTGTTACTCGTGGTGTGCTGATAGGGTCTTTTAGGGCATGGCCGTCGCGCAGAAGATCAATGCTAGGCACTATCTCGAATGCTCGGCCAAGTCGGGTGAAGGCGTGCGCGAGGTGTTCCAGTATGCAACCCGTGCGGCGCTCCTTAGCCGTCCCGGAAAGAAGCGTGGCAGCCACTGTGTCGTCTTGTAGAATTATCCAATCCGTATGTTCCCTGTCCATTTCAGTCATGCCTCTTTCGCCATACCAATCTTCGTAGTTATGTTACATTCAAATGACGACGTCCACTACAAATGCAAATGCCCATTATGCATCGTAAAATTAAATCAAATGGCGTGTTTTCGTTGCCTTTATTACGTCAGCCTGATGTCATCGTGTCTCACAACGATCCTTGTCTACGGGCCTCGAATTTGACGCGCAACGCGGCTTCTGCTTCTCGTGATGTGAGTCATTTACTGTCATATACAAGCGATGCACCCAACATGGTTAGAGACGGCCTCATTTACACGCGTGTTTCTCCGTTCTGAACCATGCACAGAAACTATCATCCCCTATCTTCCATTGCCACTAGGCTTGTGATAAACAGCTATCGTTGAAAGCATCATTATACAAGGACCTAGGCGTAGTGCGGCCCGAATTCGTTCGGGCTGTTCGGGAAGAAAAGTGACCATCGTGATTTAGCACAGGAGTAGTTGACCAGGTAACGGATCCGCTTCTGTCTTCCGCTCCCATGCCCTACTCTCTTTGTTACGATATCTCTTGTTGACACGCTCATAGTCTTTTAGCTCTACAGTCATTCGTTCTCGATTATTAAAAGCGTGAAAAGAACGACGCCGTCTCTTCTGGAAAGGTAGATTCTGTTAATCCATCCATCTGCGACCAGAGTCTTGTGTTGCAAGGTCGAGTGCTGTGCCAAGTGTATAACTGGGCGGGAGGGGGCACGCTACACTCATGCTGTTTACCTTCTCCCGGCAGATTCGATGAGCACGCTCGGGTCGGGTCTTTTCTTCTGTGCTCTGTCCGTCTCATACAGTCTCCCGCCCTCCCGCAAACGAAGCAGGACGACTTCGATGCGCTCGCTCTCAGGATATCCTTTGAAAGGATGTCGATGAGCGGTACTGCCTTTCAGTGCGAGTTTTCTTCTGTGGAGACTTTGCCGGGGTGGGTGTTCACGATATCAAGCCCACGGTGTATACTCTGGTACAATATACGAACGGTTGGATGCGGAGCGCTTCTATCGTTTTGTGCTCTTCTGGCCCGTGCTGCGTTTATCGTTTTTCCAGATGCATCTGTGTTTCAGTGTACGGACAACCTCAGGCCTCTTCGAAGATTGTATCAATGGAGCTTTATTCCCCCGGTTCGTGATGGAGATGGTCGTATTCACTTCCGCCTTTGGCCAACGCTCACTCCTGGTTTAATCCACAAAAAATTACACATGCGAACTCGTCGCACGGTATGAGATTAGAAGGTAATCGACGAGCTATGCGATATTTATTCCTCGTGTTGCTTATAGGTAGGCAGTACATGAATTGCTCGGAAGAACCTCAGAAGTAACCCTAAGTTAGGGTTTAAAGCAACGGCGGTACACAGAACAGCAGTGGTGGGACTGCAAAATATGATGGATGCCTCGCTCTGAGGACGGACCAAGCACAGGCCGGTACCGCGAACGCACAGCGGTCCCTCTTGTGCATGGTTTATGCACTTTGGTAGGGGGCATGTCTGTTTTGTGGTACATGAAGTCTATGCCCATTTGCATGTGACATGGGCATAGGGAGTGCATTTGTTTCATGGTACATTACCAAATCTTGAAATGTGCCCATTCTTGTCCCCCATTCTTGTCCTCTAAAATCTATATAGGTAGCATGTACAGTCTGTGGTACATTACCAACTCTCAAAATATGGCAATTCTTGTGTTTTAAAATCTGTGTAGGGCTTGCATCCCATCTGCAGTACATTACCAATTCTCAAAATATGTCCATTCTTGTCATTTAGACTCTTGTAGGGCTCCCATTCAGTCCACGGTACATTACCAATTCTTGAAATATGTCCATTCTGCTGTTTTAGAATCTGCATATGGAGCATGTGCAGTTCTTGGTACATGACTGATTTTCTTTGCAGACTGCTTTTCATCTGTTGGAGTGAGAATAGCACCATAACAATTTGTTCAATTTGCTATCACATCTTTTGTCAATATACTTTGAAATGGTCAGAATATGTGACTAATTCTTTCATTGACATTGTATTCCAACATCTTTTTTTGCTCTGCTTCTCCCTTTGTCAATTTTGATGCCGAGTGGGCAACACAATGAGCTCTCCCAGTAGCATCCCTCAGTTCCCATCTATAGTGATCAGTTCTCTTTCATCCATTATTTGCCTCCTGATGTCTGGCTCTGCTTCATTCTCTGACGATTCCTCTTCTTCTCTGTGCTCTCAGAGAATGTGATCTTCTCTTTCCTGCATGTCCATCTCTTTTTGCTTCTCTCTTTCTTCTCTCTCAATTATTGCCATGATTTCCTCTTCATCCTCCCTATTCCCCCATTCCTCAATATTCCGCAATGCTAGCATGTGGCCACTCATAATATCAAATCTCCAGTTCTTTATCCATGGATTCTGGATGAGGCGGACTGCTGAACATGGTAGATCCTCTTTTTGAACTCATTCTGGTTTAATCAGTTCCCCTCCCGACTTCTCATAAACACACACCCATGTGCTATCAGACCAAACACACCACAGGAATTCATCAAATGCCCTCTTCAGTGCTCTTCGCATATCTTCCACTTGT